CTTACCTCCCCAGACTGGCTATCTCAGTTACCTTTCCCACAAAATCATGAGAAAGCACCTGGGTTCCCTCTCCCCACCCCAGGCTTAGGGAATGGGAGAACCGGCTGAGGTCCATCTGCTCAGTTACTTCTGTCCTGCCACACAGGTGCCACATTAGGCACAGCCCTTGCCCACTGAGAAGCTGGTTTTAAAGACATAGTCTTTCCAGGGACAGAAAGAACAAGCATCGTGCTCTTGATTTGCTCCCAAGCATGTCTTGGTGCGTCTTCCCAGTACCCTGCCCTGCCCCGCACGTCCACTCCCCAAACCATGCTCAACCCACTGGAATGTCTTCTTTTGTTCTTCTGTCCCTTCTGTATTGTCCTGCTCTTCAGGAGCAAACAGTAATCAAAAAGTGATTCCTCTTTTCCTTTAAGTCATACCTTTTATCTCCCTCTGCTATAGTTTGTAGTAAAACTACAACTGGAAGCCCAAGATCGCATCTATATATATAAAAGTGAGATTTGGGAATTTGGAAAACACTTTTCTCTATTTAAAAAAATCAGTCTTTCAAGAATATTATCACTGGAATCTCAGGGGAAAAAAAAACTCATATGGAATTTGAAGTAGGATAATGTCCCCTTTGACATAAGCCAATAATTTAGGTTCCTAATTTTGGATACATTGAGCCACTCACTGAGGCAGCTTTTAAGAACAGTGATGATCAGGTTCTGTGCCCCGGATCCCCTTCTTCAGAGATTCTAAAACAGGTCCGGGGAGAAGTAATCCTTTAAAAACATTTTCCCAGTGATTCTAATTTTTAGCCAGGATTAATAATCATTGACTTAAAGCTGTCATGTGTCTTCTTTTTAAATAAGGGGATACCACTGAGTCCATTTGTGGGGAGAAAACATGGCTTGTTGTGAATAAGTAAAAGGAATTCTCATAATCCAAGGATAATGTTCTATTACAACCCTTGGACACGCTACAACACACTTACCTGACCAATGGTACTATGTTATCCTTCTAACAATTCTATCATGTGGATGTCATATTGACTACATTTAATTGAGGATAGGAAGTAAAGGACAAAGAGGCTAAATAAGGAATGACTTTATCATTTATTGCAAGAAAAAAAACCCACATCTTGATTCTTGAATTAATAGTTGTCGCTTGTAACATTGTCATTAATATGGTTAAAATTTTTTATTAAAGTTAAAGATTTTAAATAGTATAGAAATATATAATGTAAAAATTAAAGTTTTCACATAATTCTACCTCAAAAAATAATTACTGCTAATGTTCGGATATATATTTCTCCAAACGTATCCTATTCATATGATAATATACATAATGTAAGCATTATTTAACCACATGAGATCATACTATATATAATTTTGAAACTTGACTTTTCACATAAAAATATATCCTACCAATGCACATGTGATTATGTGTGCATGTATCTCATTCCTTTTAATGACTTTTGTATTTCATTGTAAATAACTAAACATTTGGGTTGTTTCCAATTTCTTGCTGTTACAAACAATGCTATAATAAACATTCTTGTTATAATGAAAATATCTTTGGGCAATTGTTCAAGTGTTTTAGCAAAACCGATTCTTATGATTAAAATTTCTGACTTGAATAACATAGACTTTTTCTGTTTTAATAGAGTTTACCAAATTGCCCTCCAACAAGTAGCGCCAACTCACAATTACACACTTCAACAATATATGGCGATGCTTGGCTTCCCCCACCTCGGTATGCTGGGTGTTAGCAATCTTTTATAAATGTGCTGATCTGATTAGTGAAAGTAAATACCATTGGTAACTGAATTTGCATTTGTTTGCTTACTGAAATTGAGCGTCTTTTTTATATTTGGCTTTTGGCTACATGTAATACCTTTTGTGTGAACTGTCTGTGTGTCTTACTCATTCTTCTCAAAGATCAATCAACTTTTCTTCCTTGGTTTGTAAAAGATCTCTGAATACTAGAGAAAGTGGCTGTTTGGCTATCATATATGTTATGAATATGACATTATTTATGTCTGAATTGGGAGGGGGCTGCTTTTGGTATGTGAGTGTATGTGTTTTATTTTTTTATAAATTAAAAGTTATTATCCTAAATATCATGTTTATTTGTCTGTTCCTATATTAATTTTTTTTGTTTCTTGCCATCCTAAGGAAGGATTCCCTTCCAAAGTATTATAAACATATTCAGTTATGTGTCCTTCACATACTTTTATGGTTTTATTTTACTACAATTAAGTCTTTCATCCACCTAAACCTCAGTGTAGGCAGCAAGGAAGGCATCCAGCTCTATATTTTTCCAAATACAGAAACTAGTCATTTTTCCCCTGCTCTTTCTTTAATAACCTAGCCTTTCCCACTGATTTGAAATGTAACTTTATTATGTAATAAGGTATAGATAGGTAGATAGATAGTAGATGATAGATTGCTATTCTAATGATGTGTTTTTTCCTTTGCCACCCACATATACTTCTAATTCCTGAAGTCATACTGTTTTGATATCTGATAAAAGTGCTATAACCCTTGATCTCATTAGCTTTTATTAAAGAATTTCCCTCGATGTTTCCCCATATTATTTTTTTTCAGCTGATCTTTCAAGTAATTTTAGTCATAGATAAAAATAAAACAGCCAGTTGGGGCTGTATTGCTTAAACCAACCCTTTTCTCAGTCCCTGCCGTATACCAGGTAAATGGACTGCTAGTACTTCTCCCTGCTGCAGTCACTTCTGTACCTTCCAATTTCCAGTTACCAAAGTGAGCTTTCCGGTGCCCAGATTTAATCATTTCCATTTGCTGCTGAGTATCCGTCAATGACTTTCAGTTTATTTGAGGATACAACCCTTATCTTTCAATGTGGCATACAGGACTTCTGTCTGCTCGTTCATCTTGACTTTGTGCTACCAGCACTTTGTATTTCATTCACTACCTTTCCTCTAGGCATCACAAAACTTTCTGTGTTCCCCCAACAAGCCGTGTTCTCTCTCCTCTGTGCTCCTGTGCATTCTTCCTGTCTGGACTTCCCTCCCCCACTTTACTCCCACTCACCCTTTTGAGGTCAGGTGCCATCTCCTCTGTGGCACTAACTTAAGTCTCTGATCCATTCTGCATTAGGTGTCTGGAATCCCATTACTAGGCTCTATCAGGATATACTTAAATCACCTATTCACTTACATCTCTTCTCCACTAAACAAGGAGCCCCTTCAGGATGCCATCTACTTCTTTATTCCCAGAACTCATCATTGTATCTATTACATAACCCATCCTTAATTCATGCTGGCTGAGCAAATGAATCAAAAGTGACACCACCTAGAATTAATTTTATATCAGTCAGCTGGTCAAATAGATTTCAGTCTTAATTCTTGCCTTTTCCAGATTCTAAAAGCTACTTGCATTCTTTGGCTCAGGGACCCCTCCCTCCATCTTTAAAAGCAGAAAGGTAGCATCTTTCCTTTTCTCTTACCTTTGCTCTTATCTTTACTTTGTCTCCTCTGATTCTAAGGCTTCTGCCTCTGTCTTATAAGGTTCCTGATGATTACATTGGACCCACCAAGGTAGTCGAGGATAATTTTCCCGTCTCCAGATCTTTAACTTTTTCATATTTGCAAAGTGCCTTTTGTTGTGTAAGGAAATATATTCACAAATTCCAGGGATCGGGATGTTAACATCTTAGGGGGGTGGTTGGAATATTATTCAGTCTACCATGCCTTCTCCTGAAAGTTTTTTTTGACCTCTTGAGTTAGAATTCATTTCTTTTTCTCTGGTTCCCACAATATCTCAATTAACTGAAATTTTTAGAACTACTTTGAAATTTGAGATTAATTTTTCTACCCTTACTGTTATTTTCTTCATGGCAAAATTGTGTATTTCATCTGTGCAGTCAGACTGGGCTGAATCTGGGCCTAGCACTTCCATCTTTTCCTATGTAAAAGAGAAGTGTATTGCTAGGTGGATAAGAGGACAGATGCAGGGGCAAGATTTCTCGTCCAGTCCTCTGCTCTAACACCTACTAGTAAGAAACAGTGCCAATTGCTGTTTCTTTATCTGGAACATAGAGATAATTGCAGTATTTACCACATATGTTTCTTGTGAGTATTAATAAGTAAACATATGAAAATTACTTGAAACAGTGATTGGCATATAATATTCACTCAAAACTGCTATTAATTTCCACTGGTGAGATTACTATGAGAATTAAAGAGACCGTAGATAATGCACAATGCAGGGCACGCAGTAAATTTTCAATACACTCTAGCTTTTGCTTTATTGTCATCTGTATCAAATACAACAGGTTAAAGAAATCAAAGAGAGTGAAGAAAGGTAGGAATTTAGTGAAATGTACTCAGACTTTGTACCAACAATCTGAAGTATTTCTGGATCTCTTAATTTGGGGCCCAGTACAACCTCAGAGTTAAAATATATGAAAGGTCAATAATGTTATGATGGATAGATTTTATTAGTTTCAAAGCTAAAGTAGTAATATCTGCAGGCTTTTAAATATTACAGAGTGTTTTCAAATACATTATCTCATGGGTCCGTGTTGTGACTGAATGTTAACTCCAGGCAATCGCTAGCAATCTAATGGCTATTTGGTTATTTAGGCTTCCTGGATTATTATTAGCCTTGTCATTTAATAGCCTCTTATGTCCTATGTATCACGGGATATTCAAGTGTTACCCATTTGTTTCCAAACTAAAATAAGGCATCCACTCAAATATTTACAGTAAGTAGAATAGAAACTTGTATAATCATCTTCCTCTCTCACAAATGAAGCAACAGCAAAGTGGTATAGCATCTCAGCTGTTTCAAGTTCCTCAATTGAGTTTTACTTTTGCAAAACGGACTTCTAACTTCCTACATTCTGTGAGCTGTGCTGTAATCAACATGACTGCCAGCCACGTTTGTTGTAATTTTTTAAACATGTGGAAAAAAAGAAAGATCTCGACCATGTATTACCTTAACCAAGATGCCAAATTATCTAACTTGTTTCTCCAGGCAAGCAGTCCAACCACAGGGACAGCTCCCCGGAGCCAGTCAAGGTTGTCTGTCTGTCCGTCTACTCAGGACATCTGCAGGTAAGTGCTCAGCAAATGGTTCTACTCAATATTTTTCAGAGCAGTGTTTTGTGTTCTTGTTTTACATGCTGAGACTGTGTGGCTCTTTCTTCTGCCTTTTGTTGTCCATGCAGTTTGTAAAGGCTTAAGGTTTTGGGGGCTTTTTTTTCCCCTTTAGTGCATTTTCTTCATTTAATCTTTGTTTATCAGCTTCTGGTCCATGCTATCATTTTCATCATTCTCTCTCTGTTTTCCCATGGCTTTCCTCTCCATTCCCATCTCCCATCCTCTGCTGCTTTGTCTAGATCTGCCTTCTTGCATGACATGTCAGAAGACGCATTTGAGCAATGCACCCCTGTAATGGTGCTGAGCCCTGCTAGGAAGGAGTCTGGTAAGAAATCAGTGAAACAGAGGCCTAGGAGGAGGAAAAGGGCCTCTGAGAGATATGAACATGCAGAAGAACAAATAAAAGGGCGAAGAAATGATTTTCACCTCCAGATCTCAAGCCCCAGATGGAGTGAGCTTTACACAGATTCTTCAGATTTGTCTTCCATAGATGAGAGTCATTGGATTCAGGCAAAAAGAAGAGCCCAAGAGAAATTCTGACTGTCACATAGAAGGAGAAATAATAATAAATCATGTGGAAACTTGGATGGGGCTTCTGCTCCTAATGGAATTGATCTGGTACATCTGGGCTCCAAAGGTAAAAAGTGAGAAGAGCTGACTGAATGTGAGAGTAGCTCCTTAAATCTCTGCAGAGGAAAAGGCACATGGTACCAAGAGTGCAGTCTCTCCCTGCCTAGGGGATCCTGTGAGATTAAGAGATCCTCAAGGAACCATGAAGAAAGCAAAGGCAGGTACCACCGCAGGGACCCACAGCTCTTGCATAGTCTTAGGCAAAATGACCCAATCAACAAAAGATTTTCAGAAACAGATTCCAGCACTGAAATATTGGCAGTCACAGAAGGCGGCAAGTATGTGGATGACTCAGGGTTCCAGGTGAATGACCCTCTTCAGAAGCCTCCTGCCACCTACCGTGTGGGGCCTGAGCATTTAAAAATATGCAGGTCAGTCACTCTAGAGAAGCACTTGATGCCGTGCAAATGTATTTCTTTCTGCTGCGAGTTAGCTGAGTGTTTGACATCTGCCCTTAAAATACAACATTTATTCATGCTATTATTTGTCTGGTTGTATGTAAGGTGGTTAAATGAGAAAAGGTTATATAGGCCTGAGAAGAACAATAGAATTCAACTTCCCCTCCTCCCCCCCACTTTTTTTTTGTTTGAATAGGAACTAGGAATAACGGTTTATCCTAGTAAAAGGACAGACGAGCCAGTTGAGTTTTGTACTCATTCAAGTTAAGACAAGGCTATTGGAAGAAATATGAGTGAGAGACTCTTCAATGCAAATTGGGTGAACTGTTAGCACCAGGACAGGAAAATATTCAAGGCTTAAGGTTTCACAGGTCAGAAATTCATATCAGAAAGATCTCCTCTGCAGTTGGTGCTAATTTGTTCTCCAATTGTTTGACTCAGCAGGGTAATTTAAGACTGAAAGGACAGAGAAACAGGTCAGGGACCTGTCGGCGGGGGCCGCTGGAGCCTTCAGGAAAGGGGACCACATTAACTTTAGTGATAATCATGTACTGAAAGGTCGCAACGTGCATAATGGTTTTATTTCATAGCTACAGAGCTGTTTTCTTGAGCTTTTTACCCAGCTGTACGCCTTTTCAAAATAACTTAGTATTAAAAAGAATCATAGGACTGTCCATGCTGTTATTTACACAGGAGACCATTTTAAACAAAACACATTTAGCTTGGTTCCCATTAAGGAGTAAGTGAAGTTTTTGTTACATAATGCTTTGTTGTTTGGGCTTATTTATACGCAAATTGAGGTTAGTTTATAAAACATGTATGTGTGTTTCATGTGCATCATGTAACCCAGAGAACGCAGCCTATGTCCTTTCAGGGCAGGATAAGGGGAGAATTAAACTCTGGATGGAGATAATATTAGACTGGTTTGTTTCTCTGAAAGTTTTATAAGATAGTCATTCATAAAATGTCCATTCATTTTTTCATTCAAGCATCTATTATGCATCAGGTCTTATTTTAGGCTTGCAAATGCCATAAGGCATGAGATCTGTGTCGTCTCTGATGTCTTAGCTGACAGTCGGGTGGGGATGACAGACACAAAACTATTTCATAGTTACATGTAATTTCGATTGTGATAAGGAATATGAGAGCATATAACTAACAAGTGAGCTTTAGAAGAACTCTCTTAAGGAAGTGACAAGCTGACTGGGGTTCAAAGGATGACAGCGATTGATCAAGGAAAGAGATGGGGCAAACCGTCCAGCAGGAGCGCCACTACAGGAAGCCAGGAGGAGGGAAGGAAGGCAGCAGGCCAGGAAGCCGAAGGCTGGCTGCTGTGGCCAGTGTTGTCAGTGGGGGGACGGGTGGTAGAGATGAGGCCTGAGAGGTGAAGAAGGCCACACACACTGTGCTAAGGGATTTAGAGAGCAGCAACATCACTTGATTTACATATTAATGGGACTTTCTTGTACTCTTCGAATATGATTTGCATGGCTTAGCTGGGAGATAGACTAAGTGTTGGGAGATAGACTAAAACACTATTTCTACTCTAGACTAAGAACTCCCACTTGCAACCATCTGCTGTCATTTCCCAAATCTACTTCCAATATAATTGAATGAAAGACAGTCAAAGAAGCTCGTTGTAGGCTAATGGTAATTGGAGAAAAAAAGTAATGCTTGCAATTAAAGTCGTAGTGGCTGGTTCTCCTAACTTAAAAGCACTGCTCTGGAGGAACATTTTCAAAGTCAGGATATTTAACTTAGACTTCTATTCATGAAAGTGAGATCAATGGGCCTATAGTTATTATTTCTCACTGTGAGTTGCCATGAAAATATACCCACTAAGTAAGTACGATGGACAGCATATTGTATGAGATGCCAAGGATAAAAAATGACAAAAGAACTTGATTCATCCCATGAGAGGCTTATTACCTATTAGGAGAAGTCAAACACACACATGAAAAGCTGAAATTTCAAGGCAGTACGGAGTGCATTTAAGAAGAGGAATACTGTGGGAATTTGAAGAAAGAAAAATTCCTAAGAGCTGGAATGCTCTGAGAACCCCTTAAGAAGTGGGATTATTGGGATTGAGAAAAGTAGAATTTAGATCGGCTGAGATGTGTGGATGGCATTCCAGGCACTAGAGACAGAGAAAAGACCATGAGCCCAGACCAGGATGCAGGAATGATGCTGTGCACTTGAGAATTTTGTGTGAATTTGTGTGACTAGGCTGAGAGGCTTGCATAGATTGATTACAACTAAATTTTTGTTAAAGAGACATTATGAACAAAACATGCACATCCTCCCAAGGAGTTTAACTCTATTTTGTACATCTTTGTTTTCAAACTGCCTCGATGAGCCTCTTAGTGCCAAAGAGGCTGCCTTTAAAGTTGAGGACAGGTTAAGAGGACTGTACTCCCTTTCCCTTTAGCCCATCTTTAATGAGAGAATTTTCATAACTATCTGTGTTTTCTAATGGGGTTCAATAATGTTTCTTTAAGAAGAGAAGAAGATTCCACTGCAAAAAAAAAAATACAGAAGAGCCTTTGCTAAATAAAATAGGCTCGATGAAGAGCAGCGTATACGAGTAGTTAGTCAGAGTATCCTAAGAGTGTACTGGGAAAGGAACCTGGATTTAGGAGAATGAGTTGTGATGTAGTGGAAGTACCCTACTTTGAGATAACTAGGACTAGGATTATGGAGGATAGTGAAAGGGGGGACATCGGCATGCTGGCTCCCACCAGGTGAATAGGAACGATCTTAATGCTTGGATGTGGTGAAAGCATAAGACAAAAGAGTCAATAATGACTCCAAACCTTCAGAGACAGTAAATGCTGATGCTACTGACAGAGGCAGAGGAGGTCAGAAGCAGGTTTGTTTGGGAAAGACACAATGAATTCAATTACAGGCAGGCCATTTTTTGTTGCAGTGACATTCAAGGGTCAGCTGTCCTGCAGACAATATGAGATGTGTCACTAGAAAGCAGGAGAGCAGTCGGGGCTGGCTCTGTATTCATGAGTGAGCTACACACAGACCAACACTAAACAATGGCATATTTGCAATTGCTGTTAACATTATGCATTGGCACGGGGCAATAGCACAAAGATATTAAATATGAAAATGTAATCATGGTCAGAGAGGACATATGGGTTCTCAGGGAGGTGACGATGAAGCCAAGGAGGTGAATGAAATCTTTAAGTGAGATCATTTGTAGGAAAAAAGTCTCTGAATGGACACACCCTAAGGACCAGGGGTTCCTGTGAAGGCAAGAAAAATAACCCACAAGAGAAGCAGCAGTTGTCTTGAACTTGCACTCCTGCTGCTTCAGAAATGCATAGGCAGGGCCAGTCTCAGCCACAACCACAAAGTGGAAGCTTCTAAGCCCTTCCTCCTTGGTTCTTAGCATTTATTCCCCATGCAGACGTGCTAAGGGTCTTCCCACCACATCGAAGCGTGTTTAGAGAAAGTTTGGCTTAACCAGTTATAACTTACAGGGCATTTAAATCATCATGCTATTACAGCCACAGTTGTGTAGTGGGAAAAGCTTTGCCTTTTTATATTAAAAAAAAAGTACCTGTAGGAAAAACATGAATTAAATCATGCTTTTTTAACAGCTTCTGAATTGCAAGTTCAGAATATGATTTACAAGTCCCTGCATGATCTGTCTAGCAGATCTGCATCTCCAGCTTCAATACCCATCATTAACAATGACCTCGTCAAGCTGGCCTGTCGTCAATTCCCTGAAAGTGGCCAGATCTGTCTCTTTTAGAGCCTAAGATGCCTACACGTCACCTCCACGCCTGCCCTTCACCAGACTACCTAGTAGTCATTTTCTTGATTTAAATGTCATCTCTTTAGGGACACTTTTATGATATCCCAAGCAATAATCAGGTCTCCTGGCAGTCAATTCCATAGCCTAATTTTAAATTGCTAACATGAAGATATTTTTGTGATTGACTGTATCAGGTTTGTTTGCTGCGGTGTTCACGTTGCCTGGAAAGATAGCATATATTCAACACAGTTTTCGAAAGAATAGATTTTCGGAAAATGAATTTTTCTAAGGGAGTCATTCTTACTGTGTGAAATCGTAGCACTAAATGGTGGATTTCTTCACCTTTTATGGAGCCAACATGTAAAGAATACTCCACACCAGCAGTTCTCATACCTTAATGGCCATTAGTTGACCATAGGGCTTGTTGAAGTACAGATTGTCAGGTGCACCCCTAGGGTTCCTGATTCCCTTACTTCATGGCTGGGCCCATGAATTTGCATTTCTAAAGTGTTCTCAGGTGATACAGATGTTGTTGACTTAGAGACCATATCTTTAGAACCCCTGTTCTATGTTATAAATTTTCTTTGAACTTAAGTAGGAAGAGAAAAGAAAAAGAAAATGGAAAGGATGCATTTGGGAAGCCTAATTATAGTTTATTTTTATCATAGTCTATTGAATGCTGACACAAAGCCTAATTCAGTTATTTTTCTGTATTTTTCACTGTTGTACTAGGATAGTGTGGGTCATCTCACTAAAGCTGTAGGCTGACAGAGTCCAAATTTACCAGGAACTCAGATGTCGTCATTTGAATATCGTTTCCCTCAAGCCCACTTCCTTGTCTCAACCACCTCTGTTCCTGTCAGTGACTCTGCAAACCCCCTGAATTTTCAGTTTTAACTATATTCTTCTGCACTGAATATACCTGGTCTCTAAGTAGTGCCATTTCTTCCTCCAGATCTTGCTTTCGATCTGTGATGCCTTCTTTCTCATTGCTGTGTCTCATTTTGGTCCATGCTCTACATCTGCCCCTTAGCAAGCTACCCACGTCAGTCAGGACTCTTCCACTAGGTTAAAATGGAGTGAGCATGTATGCACAACCCACAGACACAGACACCAGTGTGGTGATGGCCAGAGGGAAGACAGTGCAGGGGTTGGGTGGGAGTGGGCAAAAGGGGGAAACGGGGACATCTATTAATAGTGTCAA